CCTCCTCGGGCAGCGCCGCTCGCAGCCCTCGGCTTTGCCCTCCGCTTTGCCTTGGGCACTCGCTCGTTAAATGGAGCTGAGTCATTAACTTGTCCCAACTTCGGGTGGTAGAAAGCGCCGTTCGTATTTCTATGGTGGACGTGAAGGATTTGCAGCGGAACAGGGCTGTGGGTGTTTGTGTTACCAACAAAGTACACTTTGGAGTTGAATAAAACAGCACTGTGTGCCGAGGTTTATCTGTGAGACTGAACACGTGTTCTGTGGCCGTACAAAAGTTTAGGGATGAAGACAGGCTACTGAGGGGGGACCCCCTACCTTCCCCAAGCCCAGTGTTCGCAGGGGACAAATTTAAGCCTCATGAAATCCTGCATTTGAAAGTTGGACAGTCAGTCTGCTCTTAGACTTTTACAGTAAATTTAGAAACATTTCTGAAGACAGCTACTGAAAAATGCATCTTTTGTGCAGCAAATTGCGCGTTTCTAAAATACTTTCACTCACTTGACAGATTTGATGAAAAGGAGAATGTATCAAACTGTATCCAGCTGAAGACTTCAGTTATTAAAGGTATAAAGAATCAACTGATAGACCAGTTTCCTGTTATTGAACCATGGCTAAACCAAATCATGCCAAAGAAAGATCCAGTCAAAATAGTAAGATGGTAAGTATCTTTTCTCTTAAACTTTGCTTTCAAGGTGCTAGGATTGCTTCCTTTGTATGTTTACTTTGTACAGTAGATAAACCTTGCACTTTTTGATAGGCTTCCATCATCTCTTAATAGCTAGTAGTCTCTGTTAAGGTGAAACTAGAAAGTTGGCATGTGCTCATTATGCTTTAAAGGCAGATGCTAATAGGATGCTTGAGGAACTTAAAAAAGCTGCCTAGTAGTTAATGTGCAGAGTATTCAGGGTCTCTCCAAGGATCAACCTGTTGTTGAAGGGAAGCATTCAGCTTTATGGATGTGGAAGCTCAAAGTGGTTTGGATTCCTGTTAGTAACATTTTGTACTGTTTTTGGGCTTCCATATATTATCTTGCTTATTTTCCCTTTTCTAAATAGAGGGTAGTACATTTTTTTCTGAGTTCCTTTCCTTATTCACTCTTGGTACTGCATTCAGTAAGCAACACCAAAGAAATGCAGTTTAGTGTATTTTGTCAGTAGGTTTCTTTTTTCTCAAAGGGGGAAGAAGTGAAGAAAAGATGACTGCTGAAGAACAAGTCATACGAAAAGATAATATTTTTAGTTTTAAATTTTGTTGCTAATTGACTGTTTTTATTCTCAGGTGCTAAGATAAACCAGACTCCATAAAGTAAAATACTGTATTTAAACTATAGAAGGGTTAAGTAGCTCTTTGAATTGTTTTTTTTTAATCTTGCAGTCATGAACATATAGAAATCCTCACTGTGAATGGGGAATTGCTGTTCTTCAGGCAAAGAGAAGGCATTTTTTACCCAACGCTAAGGTTGCTTCATAAATGTAAGTTTCCTGAGGGTGGTCATGTGTGATTCCACAGGACATCTGTAGAAGCAAATTAAAAAGAGCTTCCATGCATATACATATTCTAGAATAGATCTTAAAGATACAGTATACTTTCTTAACTGGAATTTATTAATTTTCTGTTTCACAAGTCTATGTGAATTGCTTCCATGCTATATGTTAAGCAATCTGAACTTTGATAAGAAAGAATTAAATTGTGCAAAGCTCTGTAAAAAAATCTTGAGAGGCTCCCCTAGGACAGAGATATAAATTTGATATTGTTGGTCCCTATCTTTTTTCTTTCAAGTCTCGTTGTTATGGAAATACTTTTAAGTTCTTACTAGAAAAATATTCTGCCTTCACGAGTCTAATGATGTAATGTATATATGTCTCCTGTGGGAACCTATGCTGCATGCTTTTTACTTTTCACAATTTACTCTTGCAGTTTTTTTCTTGCTGTTCTGCTTCATTTTGTTACTCTGTTTTGGATCCCAAAAAATGTTATTCAGTCAGATCTCAAGAGGCTGCCTGCACTTGAAGGGTGGCTTGGAGAGCTGACAGCTTTCATGAATTTAGTCCATGTTTGTCTTTTTTGTTCTGTTAACATTAAACTGTTTTTCTTTCATGTTGGAGTAATTTGTAAGAATACATGGAGTTTGCAGGATTTAACACACTTTGGTTTTAAGATGTCTTAGGATGGGCACGTGGGTGGTTGTTTTCTCTAGGGGAAAATTGTTGCTTAGTCTATGGGTCTGTGAGTGTGCAGGAGCCATAGCCTGAAGTGCTGGATTATGTTAGGTTCTCATATGAAAGTTGTGGTTGGGGAGGACAGTTTGTTTCTCAAACTTCCTGTCCTTGCAGGACACTCTACATCTAATTGCCCCATTTAAACTGATTTGATAAGAAGCTATTTATGTTGTCATGGTGCTGTATTAATTGCAATGCTGTATCTTTCCCCTCCTAGACCCATTTATTCTCCCGCATCAGCAGGTTGATAAAGGTGCCATTAAATTTGTCCTGAGTGGAGCTAATATAATGTGCCCTGGCCTGACGTCTCCTGGAGCAAAGCTTTACCCTGCTGCTGTTGACACTGTCGTTGTATCCTTCTTAACTATGAATTACCAGTCATGAGATGAGTTAAATTTCTATTCTTGTGTTCTCAGTTGATCATTATCTGTATTACTTTGGATTTTAATTGGATTTAATGAAATAACTAGTAATCAGAAAGGAGCTGCAGAGGTTTAGATATTGCTTGGCAAGGTTAAAATTGTTTTTTTTTTTCTTCACTTACTGTATGTTCCAAACCACATAACTATTCCTGCTGTACTGTTGGGTGGGTTGCTGTTCCATTAATCTCATTGGTAATTGGAGCTCCTTTGTGATTTTATACAGAATGGTAAAAGTAGATGAGTTCAGTGTAATTTGTCCCGTGCCTCCTTAGTCAATCCTGTGTTCCCTTCAGAAGAATGCTCTCCTGTTCCTAGGGAATTAGGAAAGATGTTTAGAATCAGCTCTACTGCAGTCAGGACCTGCTCTTTGTGTCTGATGAAGTTAACATATGTAAAATGAGGGAAGTGTGTTAATTCACTCATTATATTACTGAGAAAAGAACCATGAATGAATACAGCATTTTTAACACCAAGCTGTGCTGCTTTTATTGTTAGTTAGGTGCTATAGGAAAAGATCATCAGTTAATATCGTGTTGCTAAGCTCTGAAAAGGACATGTGATTTTAGTACTTGTGGTTTTTAAATTGGTGTCTCAGTTCTTCTGGGCCTTGGAATCTAAAATGGCCCCACAAACATGTGCTGTTTTGTTCCAGAAAGGCAGAGACTGTCATCTCTGTGTTAGGCACAAAGGAAGAAATGTAGCACTGGGAGATTTTTTTTCTGTAATTGCTGTTCTAAGTTCATAAATACATGCTTTGTTCTACACACTGATCCAGTTGTTAAATTCAGTGCATTGTTTTGCTTATCTTTAAAGCCCGGAGCTCTAGAATTACTAAAAGGTTAAAAGTTCAACAGTGACTTTTGAAAATGTTTTTGAAAGTAGTTTCTTCATATTGCTTTTACTTTTCTGAAATAGTTTAAAAAAGAAATCTGTTTTCCTTAGTAGTAATTTGTAGGCAATAATGGCAGAGGGAAAACAACATGCATTATGTGTGGGAGTAATGAAGATGTCAGCTGAGGACATGTAAGTGTTTTAAAAGCTGAAATATAACCTGTCCCATGTTATTATTCTTATGTTAGTTTGGAGTATAAGCACCACTGTCAAGGTTACTGCATTGCTGTTGCAGCATATGTTGTTCAAGAACAGAGTTTGTAAGATTTCATTTTGTTGACTGGTATTCAGGAAAAGAAGAGGAGGCAGGGAATGTCTTCTGTCCTTATTGGGAATCAAAGTAGTTACTTTCTTGTGAATATGGATTCTAAGACACAAAATACTAGTACTACTACTGAATGTTAGTATTTCTAGTGCTGTGATCATATCTCAAAGATCTTATTGAACAAAAACATACTTGATAGAAGTACTTACTATCTCAGACTAGACAAGAGATGTGATTTGGATTTGAGAGGATTCAAAATTGAAGAGATTTTTGTCTGCAGGGACAGCAGAGACTCGAGTCCAAGCTTGGAGCTTGGTTGCCGGTCTAGGCTATTTTTTCTCTGTGGCCTGTTCTTTTTCCTTAGGTTGTACCCACATGCAACATTCCTGCTTGAAATGCTGACTAATTTAGCTGATCCTCTTGTGAAATTGAGAGGTCTGCTCAGGGGATCAACTGAAAACTATTTGAGAAGAAAAAGAGATATAGAAAATGGAAATGAATGTTAATTGTTCTTGGCTTTCAGATAGTGCTGAATTATAAGTAGCTAAATCACTTAGTCATTTGAAGTGCTATTAACGCCTTGCAGGATGTGAGGTGCACCCAGCAGGTTTGGGCTGTGTTTGTTTCCAGACCTGTCTGCCACCTGTTGCAGTGAGGAAGCTTTTTTGGTGAAAACAAGTCACTCTTTTTTGTGTTGTTAATTCTCAGTAGAAGTCTGTGTTAAGCCGTAATAGTAGCACTAGGCAGAGAGGTGGGAATGTTTTAGAGGACAGGGATAGACTGGGATTGCAGAAACCTGGATTTGGAACTGCTGTAGCTGTTGAGGAATTTTATTTTTCAGGATTCTTTGTGGTGCTTCAAAGACAGACTCCAAGAGTAAGTGGAAAGAAAAGCTACTTGTGTCCCAACCCTAAAAGTGCAGTGATACAGGTCCTCTGTATATCTTTTAGCTGAATATTGTGTTCCTGTAAGAAACAACATGAACTGGAGAGGAAAATGAATTGCTACTTCTCTCTGCAGCCTGTTAGCTGCACTTTTGTGTGACATTGTTCCACAATTTTCTGGTTTAGGCAGGGGGATTTCAATCTCTTGGTGTGATTACTACATATAATGTGTTAATGCTGTGTTAGCAGCATTTTCCTTCCTGGTTACTTTTGGACAGATTGTGTAAGTAATAGAACACTTGGTGTAAATAGAGTAAATTATTCTCCAGGGGAATGCTCCTTGCTGTCACTCCCAGAAAGAGATTTGTCATGTTTATTGTGGCAAAACTAGATTATTTTTTATTTTATTTTTTTACTGGAAAAATAAACACATTCAATGCAGACATGAACCAGTAACTCTTAAAAGATGACATGTCTCAAAAGATAGTCAATACTGCGGAGGATAGCATGTCTGTAACAAGCTGCAAGTCCTTGGCACATAACTTTAGCATTTTAAATTCTTTATTAAGTGGGTAGATGACCTGCAACTAGAAGTGAGGCAGCTCACCTGCATTTGATTGTGTCCATGGCACACCTGGAACCAGAACTTGTTAGATTCCACATTCCAGTCATCTTGTACCACATCCTTTGCTGGGAGGGGAAGGCTCACAACTGCTGTGCTACTTTGATGGAGTACTTTTGAATGTGGAGTGATTACTTTTGATGGTTAATTAAGAAAAGTAGCAGAAGTGTTGTCTGAAGAACTGTGTCCCACAAAGTAGTAAAAATACTGTGGAAAGCTGTTGAAAAAATGTGGAAGGCAAATATGGTTCTCTTATCAGTCAGCAGTGTGGGCACATGTAATAAATACTGTTTCTTGTCCACCTGCTGTGCAAGATAATGACCTAGTGATTGATAGCTTTCCCCTTCCAGGTGACAAATGTTGCAGTTTCTGCTTGAAATAATATATTTTGTAGTGCTTTCCTATTTAACCTAGCTAATACTTCTGTACGTTTTTCCTTCAACAGTGAGAAAGTCAACAAAGGGATTGGTATTGAAAATATCCACTATTTAAATGATGGCCTTTGGCACATGAAGACATACAAGTGAAACAACAGGAACTGTTACTCCAAAGGAATGCACTTAGATTAAATGTGGACTGCTTTGTAATTCCTTGTTTTTAATGTGACTGAATGTACAAATTATTTTGTTCTGTGGCTATGCTAAATAAATCAATTGAATGCAAAAGTACTGTTAGGCTACAATAGTTTTCTAGATTTCTTTTTATTACAGTTATTTTGTTCTGTCTTAAACCTGAGTCTTCAGTGACTGAAGATATTTGATGAGATTCTGCATGGACTGTAAGTAGACTATTTCAAATGGAAAGGAGGAAAAACCCAAGAAATGTTTACATTTTTGTGCTCTTCTAAAAGACTAATATAAAGTGTGTGTGAAATATAAATATGGTTTATAAAACCTCAGAAGCATTTCAGATTTTTTCTTCTGATTGACATTCTGTTAGTCTACTTAGTTTCTTGAATGTGGAGAAATCAGGTTTTTTGGCATTTTTTAACTTATTAAGAGCATTAATTTCATTTTACTTAAGGATTTTCTCTTTTTAATATGCATTTATCTGTATAGGATTTATGAATGCAGACTGATATGTGGATTAGAAATTCTTTTATGGTGGCTCATACCTGAAGATTCTATGTATGTTCAGATTTCTACCTGCCAACACTTTGATACTGCTCTCCTTCTAGTGGAGTTTGTAGTCACGGTGGCCACACTCTGAGTGAAGTGTGTGCCACCCTGGTGCCTGACGCTCTCTACTCCCTGTGTGCTGCCTTATTTTAGGAGCAGAAACAAAATCACTGTTAAATAATGGCATGACAGCAAAACATGTTTTTCAGTGTAGCCAGGAGAAACTTTTTCAGGTGGAACTCAGCTTGTGCACACTGCCACATATCCCCTGCTACAGAATGGATTCAGGAGCACTGTGTGTCTGTCTGGATAACCCAATCTTTTGTTCAGCATACCCAAAGCTATGCTTATGGAAAAATGAAATACTGTAATAAATTAAGGAAACTTTTAAGGTCTACCACTCATAACTGTCTCTGGAAGCATTTATTGATATTTCAAGTCTTCATTCTAACACATTTTAAAACAGCAGAATGTGATTTCGTGTGCCAGTGTCTTGCCTTGGTGCTTTTCTGCAGGCTTGGTTTCCCCACCCTGGGACCTTTACAGATGATAGTAGCCAAGGTGTTCTCTACTTGATTCCAAGGCCAGGTTGAGACATGGCAGAAGGAATATATTGCCTAATACATGCTGCTTTTAAAAGTCTGTAAAATTATTTACAAGACTACTTCTGAAAATGACAGGGTAAATCTGAAACTATTTATCGATGTAGGAAGACAAAATTTAAGCAGTATTGCAGAAAAAGTTCTCATCAAACCTCAGACCTTGAGAATGCTGGTGAACATTTCTGTGCATCTGAAAGATTTAATTGTAAATGTACAATTTTTGGTTAGTACTATGGGAAATCAGTTTATGCTTCAGTGTTGTTTGGTTGGTGGTTTGTTGGTTTTTTTTTTTTTTAGTGTAAAATGAGGTAATCTTGCCTTCTGTTGTGTGCTTTTTACCCTTCCATCTTATCTCTTCCTGTTGTCCTACATCACCTCAAATCTGTGACAAATGAGATTTTCCTCTTGTTGGAATTGTTCACGCTCATTCTCCTGACTACTGTTGCAGGGGGCTCAGAGCTGTTTTTAATAATCACACTAAAATGAAATTTTTGGTTTCTTTATCTGGTTTTGTCAGAGTTTTTAAAGCTGTATTATTCTGTATGAAGATAAAAGTCAATCAGGCTTAATTTATATACCAGTTTAGCAAAACACCAAAGGTACAAGTTTTACCCAGGTTTTGGCAGCAATTGTGTATGTTTGTGTTGCTGTCAGCTGAGCTCTGACTGACAGAGGATGAGAAGGTGCATCTTGTCTCACCTTTCAAAAAGCAGCTGAGATGTGGGATCTTGTATGGGGGTCTGAGCAGTTGTCTTACCTTTCTTGTCAAAAACCTGATGCTTAAAACAAAAAAAGCCAAGGTGTGGATTGTCTAATCAGCTCTGAAGCAGCTGTTTCACTTCCCCACCTGACCACTTGCAGCTCAGGGTAGGGTGTTACAGCTGGTTGGTTAAAGGCGAGATAACAGTCTGCTCCCATGCTCTATGAATATTGTGGTACCAACAAAGCCTGTGATAGTCCTGGATGTAACAGATGGATGGGGTACCTTCCTCAAATCTTGAAACACCCATGTCAGGTCCCTGAATTCTAAATGGACCAAGTACTGACGTGCTGTTTGTCTGCACATGCTGTGACTGGACAGGAGTGTGTCCCAGGAACTTGTGTAAAACTGTGTGCACTATATTGTAAAGAAAAAAAGGGCAACAAAAAACTCCAAACCAAACACCAAATTGTACTGACAATTAACCAACTTCTTCCTTGTAAGCACTATTACCACCCACTATCAGGAGTAAAAATAATACTGAACATTTATTCTAACATGCTTATAGATGGAATGAAATTTTACATGATCAATTAATCTTGTGCTAACAGACTCCCTGACCACGTTAATACCTATTTAAATACAATTTATCTTTTTCTTTTGTCTGCTTAGAAACACTAGTCCAAAGGGCACTTGATACTACTCTGCTGCAAGATTTCTTGTTACCTTGCTTCCTGTTAGAAGGTTGTACATGAGGTGGCAGGTGCTGTATAAGCTCAAGCTATTGCGTAGTTTAGTGTAAAAGAAATAGCTTAAAGTTACAGTCTTTGAGACTGAATCTGTAGTCAGTTTTATTGGTACATCTTAGAAAGATATAAAGACATTCTAGAAATGCCTGGAAGAGCTGAAATAACCAAAGTCTTGCAAAAATATATTTGTAAGAGTAGATTAAAGTTCATTTGAGTTTTCATTAATAAATACTTACATATACAAACCCCCCATAAACTTAATCTCCTTTTATAATAAACATTAACAACTTCTTTTTATCATTTCATTCCAGCCCTGTCAAAAGCCAGAAGCATTTATCTATAAAAGATTTAGAAAAAAAATCTCCTTCCACTTTTAAAATTAAGAGCTTTACCAACCCTCAATGTGCAAAAAAACCTGTACACCAGTACCAGAATGTGTCAGTACAACTGTGTGTTGTGAGAAGAGCCGACTCCACGGTTCCAGGCCTTCCCTGAGGACACATCAGTCATTGTCTGAGCCTGGTGGGGGCAGGAAGACCAGGGCATCACTGTATGAGTGACCGTAGGGCCTGAGCCTGTACACCCCGTACATCATCACGTGCATGTGATTGGGGGCCAGCCCGCTGAAGGTGATGGCCATGTCAGAGCAGCAGCCGTCCACCACCTGCTGCGGGTGAGTGGACATGGCCTCCTTAATGAGGGCCCCAACAGATTTAGTGTTAAAGACATCTTTCCCTTCTGAATCTTCGGCGTTTTCAGCAAACACGCCGGTGTACTTCAGGCAGATTGCCAGCTGCTTGTCCTCTGCGAGTTTCCAAATCATACCTCCCTGCTCTGGACACTTGTCAGGGTCTCCAAGGACATGGGCAAGTCGTCTTAGTGACTCAAGGCTTAAGACGATTCCTCCCTCACCATCTACATACTCAAGGTCACCAGATTTCACAGTGTGGCCTATGTAAAAAGGCTGTGAGGGGTCCTTTTTCAGTAAGAAATACTTGAGATTTTCAATTATAGCAAATGTTGTTGGATATGCAAGGAAGAACCAGCTGAATTCATCCTTATAGCGTTCATATGTTATCTTGTAAGCTTTCCGCATCATTACCCACATATCATTTGTGTTGACGGCTACAGAATCAAACACTTTGACATTTTCCGAGCTGTAGAATTCTGCCTTGTCGCAGTGCTTGCTCCAGGTCTCCCTTGCTGCAGCCCAGTGCCCCAGATCTTTTGGTTTGACAAGGATGATACAATAAACACGGATGCTTTTACTAAGCTCCACACGTTCACCTTCTGAAAGGTTTAAGACATCTTCCTTGTTGGGAGCCTGGATGTGATGATGTTCGTGGTGATGTGCTTTGGTCCCGTGGCCCACCTTAATGTGTCCGAGAAGTGTAACCAACATGCAGAAAACTCCTCCAAGCACCACACCCTTGATGAAGGAGCTGCTTTCAGAAATCATTTTTCCTAGAAAAGAGGTGCACTGTAAGAAATTAAAGTAGTAAGTGCATTAGCGCAGGTTCCATATGGTTCTAATTCAGTCCTTAATTTCTAAACCCAGCTGCAGTTCCCTTATCTCCCACATCAGGACAAAGCTGATGAAAGCGGCGGCGATATCCAGGCTCCCTGTCGCGGCTCTCGGTAACGGTACGACACGAGCCCCGTCCCCCGGCCCCTGTGCCTCCTCGCCCGCAGCACCGAGAGGCCGCGGGACAGGTTCGGGCGCTGACGCGTCCACACCGCGGCCCGGGCGCGGCGGCGTTTCCCGGGCAGCCCTCCCGGAGCCCGGCCCCTGCCTGCTCCGCTCCACGGCGCTCCG